TTGAATGCTTCCAGGACAATAGAACATTGGAGAGTCCATTGGCTGGTGCCAAACTGGGTCTTTGACCTGGGTGAAATAAAGCCCTATAGTTTCTTAATTTCTAGGATTTAGGGGGTGGGTTCCCCAAAACATATAACATTATGAATAAAAAGAACACAACTGGTCTGTCTAGAACAGGCTTCCCCAAACTTGGGTCTCCAGCTAGACTACAATTCCCATCATCCCTGACCACTGGTTCTGCTAGCTAGGGATGATGGGAATTGTAGTCCAGCTGTTTTTTTGGAGACCCAAGTTTGGGAAACCCTGCTCTAGAAATCCATGGAAAACTGGCAGGTAAGGCAGGGGAAGGAGAGCTTTTTCAGCCCAACGACTGAACCCCCTTGCAGAAACACTTATAAATGTGTGCGTTGGGGAGGGGGCAAGAAACAATAGTGGGTGGAGGAAGTTGGTCTCGGAGACCTGGGTTCATATCCCCACTGAGCCATGAAGCTCACTACTTGACCTAAAATGCGAACTATGTACAGCACCTTGAGCTCCTTTGGAGGAAAGGAGGGATAGAAATGCAACAAACAAACACAACACTGCTTTTTACTCTGTTTTACTCTTACTCATGTGGGACGCGGGTGGCGCTGTGGGTTAAACCACAGAGCCTAGGACTTGCTGATCAGAAGGTCAGCGGTTCGAATCCCCGCGACGGGGTGAGCTCCCGTTGCTCGATCCCTGCTCCTGCCAACCTAGCAGTTCAAAAGCATGACAAAGTGCAAGTAGATAAATAGGTACCACTCCGGCGGGAAGGTAAACGGCGTTTCCGTGCGCTGCTCTGGTTCGCCAGAAGCGGCTTAGTCATGCTGGCCACATGATCCGGAAGCTGTATGCCGGCTCCCTCAGCCAGTAAAGCGAGATGAGCGCCACAACCCCAGAGTCAGTCACGACTGGACCTAATGGTCAGGGGTCCCTTTACCTTTACTGTTACTTATATATATAACCAACCTGTTAAAAACAAAACCAGTATGCTAAAAGAAAAGTTTTTCAACACTATACCCTTCCTGCAGGACAGAAACAAAACGTTTGCAGAAAATAAGTCTTGCATGAGGAACGGGCAATGCAATAAAATGATAGCGCCATTCACATTTGATGTATATAACAGCCAGGGGAAGGATCCCATTGGCAGGTCTTGGCACCTCTGGAAACACATTCCTAAAGGGAAGGTGGACCCATGTTTAAAATGGACTTTGGTCTTGTTTTTTTAGCTTTGTTTGGTTGGGGATTTCCACCTCTTTGTTGTCTTGGCAGATTGGGGATAAGGTAGCTTCCAGTGTCACTAAGAGAATACATTTGCAAAGAGCTTGGAGAGTCACATCAGTTATAAAATCCACCTTCATTAGGGCAACCAAAACAGTGACAATGTAAGTGTGTACACATTCAGACTTTCTTCTCTTTTTAAATTTTTTATTTAGTTTTTCAGATTTTAGAAATTTACAAACCATTATCCAATAAGCAACATAAAAAGAGAATTTCAAAGAATCTCCTGAACTTCCCTCCTCCCCTTTGTGGGTCCCTATATTAACCTTTTCCTTCTGCATCTTGTCTATTAATCCAAATCTACACACTGTATAATGACCAAAACTCAACATTAAACTACAAGTGTTATTCCAATTCCAGTCCTACTACTACTAGTTTTAATTGTTTACAATGGTTTTTAAGGTGTTATATACTTTCCCCATTCCATATTAACATTTTGGTCTTCCCGATTTCTGATTCTTCTGGTCATTTTTGCCATTTCCGCAAAGTCCATCAACTTAATTTGCCATTCTTCTCTGGTAGGGACTCTCTCTTCTTTCCATCTCTGGGCTATTAACATCCGGGCACCTTCATGGTAAAAGTTTGGGGATATGGGTGGCAAACAATACAAAGGGTTGGGCGAGGGGTGGTGGCGGTGGGATGGCTGATATTGGAGCCATAGAGCAGGGGTCAGCAACCTTTTTCAGCAGGGGACCGGTCCACTGTCCCTCAGACCTTGTGGGGGGCTGGACTATATATTTTTTGGGGGGTGAAAGAACGAATTCCTATGCCCCACAAATAACCCAGAGATGCATTTTAAATAAAAGAACACCTTCTACTCATGTAAAAACACTCTGATTCCTGAACTGTCCAAGGGCCAGAATGAGAAGGTGATCTGGCCCCCAGGCCTTAGTTTGCCTACCCATGCCATAGAGGGAATTTGCATTCAGACACAGTCTTAAGGTGGAATGCAGTGTGCGTGTGCATGCAAGCAAGCAAAACACCTCACAGAGCTTCATTAAACTTGACATTGTCCGCCACTCCATTTTTGTTGTCTGTCTTGTCCAAAGAAGCATTCTGTAAAACTCAAAAGCTTGCACATTTTATTTTGTAACAGCTTGGTTTGGAATTCGGAATTTTTCTACATGGGTTGACACAGCTACAGTTGCTTTTGGGTGACAAAAACCAGAAGCAACCATACTGGTCTGGGGGCAAAACACACTCTATAACAAAATTTACAAACAGGGTCTCTTCCATACCTAGTGTGAAAGCCAGTGTGGTGTAGCACTTAGTGTGCTGGATCGGGAACCCGGGAGACCAGGGGTTCAAATCACCCACTCAGCCGTGAAACTCACTAGGTGACGTTGGCCCAGTCACGTCTCTCAGTCTAACACACCTCGCATGGTCGCTGTGAAGATAAAATGAAGAGGAAGAGAACCATGTTTGCCACCTTCGGTCCCTTGAAGGAAAGGTGGGAAATAAATGCAACAAAAATAGATACAAATTATTAAGCAACATATTAAAAATACAAAACAATGCAAGATACAATGACAATGTCATCGACATTCAACTTTACAACTTTGTAACATGCTCCTTAACTTGCTATAACAAGTATGTCATTTACTGCTCTGGAATAGCTTAAAGGTAAAGGGACCCCTGACCATTAAGTCCAGTCGTGACCGACTCTGGGCTTGTGACGCTCATCTCACTTTATTGGCCGAGGGAGCCGGTGTACAGCTTCTGGGTCATGTGGCCAGCATGACTAAGCCACTTCTGGCGAACCAGAGCAGCACATGGAAACACCGTTTACCTTCCCGCCAGAGCGGTACCTATTTATCTACTTGCACTTTGACGTGCTTTGGAACTGCTAGGTTGGCAGGAGCAGGGACCGAGCAACGGGAGCTCACCCCGTCATGGGGATTCAAACCACCGATCTTCTGATCGGCAAGCCCTAGGCTCTGTGGTTTAACCCACAGCGCCACCCGCTTAGTTGGTGGGAAAAAGATTCCTGCATTGCGGGGGGGTTGGACTAGAATCCTAGTGGTCCCTTTCAACACTATGATTCTGTTTACCCAGCTTTTGGTAAACGTGTAAAATGATTATAACATTCCAACACAGATTTTTTTTGTGGGGGGCATTCTGACTTTTTCTCCGAAACTTTAGTTTTTGATTAAAAAACACACTCAATACCAGAATTATATATTTTTTTGGAATGTGTTCAAGACTAGGATTTTTAAAAATGTGGCAAACTGCTTAGATATTGTTGCTAAAAGTGGCCCGCAAACTGTTGTTATCAAGTAAAATATTCATTTGTGAAAGAAGTTATTTTACTTATTAAAAAATCTGTGTATACTACTCACTGACAGAAAATATCAAGATGGTGTACATCAGCGTATACATATAAAATGAGATAAACATATTTTTCTCCAGTGCAACCTTCCCTTTCTTTTGGATTTAACACCCCGGAATTTCTGGCAAGGAAGAAAGCTAGCTTGACTTGGTAAAATATGTTGAAAGACACTATGTTATTGTTGCATCCAAACAGCTGGCAGCCTTTTTCTCTTTGTCTTGCAGTTCCCCCCATGAAAGACCTGTAGCAATGACTTTCCTTAAGGCTATGGACTCTGGAATCCCTCCTTGAGGCTGCTCTTTTAACAGGAGTGCCATTTGCAGCAATTAGCAGGTGATCCGCAGTTTTTATTCGGCTCCATATTTCACCTCTAAACATCACATTGTACTTAAAGGCACAGGAGCCATCTCCCACAGGAACCCTACCAGGTTAATACAGTACATGGTCTCCCAACCAGGTTTGCTCAATAGAAGTCCTAGGAGGAAATGTGTGGCAAAGTCTACTCCAAACATCTGAAGGGCACTGGGTCAGAAAAGGCTGTGGTTAGCAAGTTAGACCTGGTAGATCCTCACTCGACTATGAAGCTCATTGGCTGACATTGGGCTAGTTATTCTCTCTCAGCGTAACCTAACACATAGGGTTGTTGTTGTGGGGGGAATTAAATTAAAGCCCTTGGTGCAAGAGAAAGATAAAATTGCAATTAATACCAATAATCCATCTCCTTGGCTGATTTAATTATTTGTGAAAGTACTCTGCAATAGGCATTGAGGAAGCCCACAGAGAAGTCAGGGCTTGCTCCTGCTGCTTAAAAACACAGCGGCAGGAGCAAGCAGGTTTTTTAAAAAAACCAGAAGCATTTTTACTTGGTATTATAGGTCAGGACATTAATAGGCGAGATGTTAAATTATTTTTATATGCAACAACTGCGGCAAGAGTATTGTTAGCCCAGAAATGGAAACAAGAAGAAATTCTGACAAAAGAAGAATGGCAGGCGAAATTAATGGACTATGCAGAATTGGACAAAATGACAGGAAGGATTCGAAACCTGCAGGACCAGAGATTTACAGAAGATTGGAAGAAGTATATGAATTATTTGAAGAGCAACTGTAATCAGCAAACTACACTAGAAGGACTACAAGAAGTTTTGTAAGGAGAGATATACGAAGTGTTACAAAGTAGAAAAAGATAGAGATATTGGTTATGAGTTTGAAATGTAATACGGAAGATAATAAATGCATACTGAGAGATTAGACTGGGAAATTTTCAGACAGGATTGATGGAAGTCAAAAATTTGAATAAGATGTAAAAGTATGTTTAATTACTGTTGAAAATGACATGTTAAAAAACTAATAAAAATTATATTAAAAAAACCAGCACAAAACACAGCAGCACAAAAGTTGGCAACACTGTACTGTTTTTACTTTTACGCATATGTTCTGTTACAGTGTCGCTGTTGTGATGGTTTTGCAACCCGCATGTTGCTTTTCAGTACCAAAGTTTCAAGGCGGTTTACAGCACTTTTTTTGGAAGACTGGAGCACACCAAAACGTACCTGGCTCCTCTTCCTCCTCATGAGTAAAACCTGCTCAGACAGCCGGGGAGGCGTCAACAGCAGAAAAAAAAAAGACGACCCGCCGGGTGGCCGCGATTGTTTTGCAAAACCTTTGTTGAGATGGGGCCACCTTTGGCTTGGAGGCGATTATCTCCTGCAAAAAGGTGTTAATTGGGCTTGCAACCTGAAGCAGGCATTGGGTTTCTGGGAAATCTCAGTCTCCGCCCCTCAAGGGGCAAATGCAATAACAGGAGGCGCGGAGGAGCAGGCTGGGGTGCAAGTCTTCGTTTCTGTGCTTAGATTAGTTCCTTGCAGGTAAGAAAACGGCGGCGGTGTTTTCTGTAAAATGGGTCCAGGGGAGCGAGCAGGCGGCCTGATTTGCTCTAGCCCTGTTTCAAGAACTCTCTCTTCCCAATCTGCTCCCCCTTCTAATAATTATAATAAATGAAGGACGATGATGGTCTGCAGTTTAATGCTGTGCTGTCGTTGGAGCAGTATTGAACTGGGCTGAATTGCCCGTATCTTTTTAACGGGGTGGTGGTGGTAGAGGAATATTCTAAGTCAGTGAACAAGCTGGCAAATGCAAACTCCTTGCCACGCCTGTAGGGCTGCCCAGAGAGATGGGCCAGAGAGATGCAGCTTCTACAAATCGTGAGGTAAGGAGTGCAAGGTTCAAATCCCCCACTCAGCTGGGAAAAGGCGTGTTGGAAATTTGTTTCTCAGCCTAACCTACCTAGTCGTTTAGTCGTGTCCGACTCTTTGTGACCCCATGGACCAGAGCACGCCAGGCACTCCTGTCTTCCACTGCCTCCCGCAGTTGGGGAGGTCAAACTCATGTTCGTAGCTTTGAGAACACTGCTCAACCATCTCGTCCTCTGTCCTCCCCTTCTCCTTGTGCCCTCCATCTTTCCCAATATCTTTTCCAGGGAGTCTTCTCTTCCCATAAGGTGGCCAAAGTATTGGAGCCTCAGCTTCAGGATCCGTCCTTCCAGTGAGCACTCAGGGCTGATTTCCTTAAGAATGGATAGGTTTGATCTTTTTGCAGTCCATGGGACTCTCAAGAGTCTCCTCCAGCACCATACATTGTCCATGGAGTTTTTTTGGCAGGGATACTGGAGTGGCTTGCTGGTTCCTGCTCCAGGTGGATAATGTTTGGTCAAAACTCTCCACTATGACCTGTCCATCTTGGGTGGCCCTGCAGGGCATAGCTCATAGCTTCTCTGAGTTATTCAAGCCCCTTTGCCACGGCAAGGCAGTGATCCATGAAGAGAAGACTGGAGCACACCAAAACATACCTGGCTCCTTTCCTCCTCCATTAAAGGTTAGGGCTCTGCACTTGCCTTGCAATTGTTGCAGAAAAAGTTTGGGGTTGGCTTTTGCAGGGCAGGCCTTTGTTCTTTTCTCTCCTGTCGAAAAAAAAGGGGGGGGCAGAACTCTGTTGCAACAGGAAAATAAAGATCTTCCTGGTTTTCCTTCTACTGGTTCCTGCCTCCATCCATTCTTTCACCCATCACGGACTTAGGGGACTCAGAGTCTCTTGGGGAGCTGGGCAGCAAAAGCCAACCTCAGTTGTTTCTACAACAATTCCTAGGGGCAATGAATGCCAAGCTTCGAAAGCCTTAATGGGTCTCCCGCTCCCCATCTCTTCACCTTCCTTCTATCCAACATTTGTTTGCTATAGGTTGGTTTGTGAGCCACAATGTTCTAACATGGAGGCGATATCTAAATGTATTTGGACTACAACTGCCATCAGCTTCTGTTGCCAGGATCAGTGGTCTGGGATGATGGGATTTGCAGGAGGGCACCATGTTGGCCACCCCTGGGCCTGAGATATGTTGGGCTCCCGGCATCCTTGACCATTGTTCTTGCTGATGGCAGGATCTGGTAACATCTAGAGGGCAAGGGTTGTGGCTGGCCTGCCACAAGGAGCTTTAAGGCTGCGTGCAGCCTTTGTGTGAAACAGAGAAGGAAGCCAGCTAGCCAGAATTGATGGGGAATTCGAATGAGGGCAACACACACACACACACACACACACACACACACGAGTGTGAAGGCAATTCCTCACATAAGCAAAATGGGGGACCAGGTCCTCTTTGGTTCTTGAGCCTGATATTTGCACAAACTTTGTACTATCCCGTAAATTGGTGCATGGACTGTACCAGCTTAAGTCTGTTGTATTTGCATGATTTGGTGTGCTTGTATGCAGGGCTGGATTAACCAGTAAGTGAAATAAACACATGGTTAGGGCATCAAGGGAAGGGGGGCACTCCAGAAATTTTCCATTGCCAGATTTACCACTAGTCCTGTTAGCTAGGGATGATGAGAGTTGTAGTCTCAAAACATCTGTAGGGCTGAGTTTGCCTATTCCTGATTAAGGGCCTCTAAAGACCTTCATCCAGCCCTGCCTGTATGCCCTAAATAAATTCTGCCAGGGGTGAGCCCTAATCTAGCCTTTTGCCTTCCTATGTGCAGGGAGTCTTCTCTCTCTCTCCCCCCCCCCCCCAAGTTTTGTCAGTCTGCAGGGTTCTTCCAAGGCAGCAAAGGCAGAGCCACATCGAATAGTGCTTTAGTATTTGTATTGCGGGTGCTTTAGTATTTGTATTGGATGCGGGTGGCGCTGTGGGTAAAACCTCAGCGCCTAGGGCTTGCCGATCGCATGGTCGGCGGTTCAAATCCCCGCAGCGGGGTGAGCTCCCGTCGTTCGGTCCCAGCTCCTGCCCACCTAGCAGTTCGAAAGCACCCTTAAGTGCAAGTAGATAAATAGGTACCGCTTTATAGCGGGAAGGTAAATGGCGTTTCCGTGTCCTGTGCTGGTGCCGGCTCGCTGGAGCAGCTTCGTCACGCTGGCCACGTGACCCGGAACAGTGGACAGCGCTGGCTCCCAGCCTATAGAGTGAGATGGGCGCACAACCCTAGAGTCTGTCAAGACTGGCCCGTACGGGCAGGGGTACCTTTACCTTTTTTTATTTGTATTGCACTTATTCAAGTTTCTGAAAGTGCCACACAAGCTTTGTTCTGGCTGCCATCCTGCCAACAACTTTAATGATTAGCCTTCTCCTGACTCCATATTATAGATGGAGGGATCTCAGGCTGAGAGCAGCTTTCTTCAAAGAGCTCCTGGTGGACAGCAGATTTGAGCCAAGGAATTCTGATTCTTAGGTCAGGCGTTTTATTCATTAAAAAAACAAAATTTAATTTTCCAAAATTTGACATTTACAATAGTCAAACAACCAAAACAAAAAGAGAATTCAATACATTCCTATGGACTTCCCGCCTCCCTTTTGTGGATTCTTATGTTAACCCCCCCCATTTTCTCTATTAATCCAATTCTATTAAATCTCTATTATAATCATAGCACAACGTTCAACTCAAAGTATCATTCCAATACTACTGATAATTTCAATTGTTTACTATGATTTTTAAGATAACTTATGTATTTTCCCCATTCCTTATTAAAATTTTGGTCTTTCTGATTCCTAATTCTTCCAGTCATTTTTGTTATTTGGCATAGTCCATCAATTTAATCTCCCATTCTTCTCTGGTAGGGGCTCTGTTTAGCCTGGGCAGCTGTGGGCACATACATAAATAGTCTCTTCTGGTTCCTTGGTATTTTGGCACCTAGAATTCTTAGAAGAAAAGCTTCAGGTTGTTTTTTTTTAAAAGAAAAAGTTATTTTAAACATTTTTTTCCAGTTCATCACTATCATCTCCCAAAATTCTTTTACTACCTTACAAGTCTACCACTTGTGGGAAAAGGTGCCTTTTTTTCTTCTTACATTCCGAGCATGTATTTGACCTTGCTTTATACATTTTAGCTAATTTGCTAGGGGTTAAATATGAGCGATACATCATTCTTATATAATTTTCTTTCAGAGTATAACATACAGTGATACCTTGGGTTAAGTACTTAATTCGTTCTGGAGGTCTGTTCTTAACCTGAAACTGTTCTTAACCTGAAGCATCACTTTAGCTAATGGGGACTCCTGCTGCCACCACACCGCCGGAGCATGATTTCTGTTCTCATCCTGAAGCAAAGTTCTTAACCTGAAGCACTATTTCTGGGTTAGCAGAGTCTGTAACCTGAAGCGTATGTAACCTGAAGCGTATGTAACCCGAGGTACCACTGTACTGTAAACTTTAAATCCCAGTTCCATAACTTCTCCCATGCTGCAAGTTGTATATTATGTCCAAAGTCCCTTGCCCAGTGTATCATAACTGATTTGACCTGTTCGACTTTCGCATGCCATTCTAATACTAATTTATACGTTTTAGAAAGCAATTTAGTCCTATTCTCTAACCGCTCTTTTTCAAATTTAGAGGTTTCATTAGAAAAGCCTTTCTTTTTGTCCATCTTAAAGATATCATTAAGCTGATGGTATTGTAACCGATAAGTTAATAGTCCTCTTATATCTTCAAACCTATTTAATTTTAATTCATGTTCTACTTCCCTTAATAATTCTTTATCAGTTGCCCAGTCAGTTCTCTCTCTCTTTTAAGGGAGATATCACCTCCAGTGGGGAAAGCCACCATGTTTTAATAAGGTTAGGTGTTTTAAACAGTGCATCATGTCAGCTTTTCATTAGGTAGCTAACTAGAAATGGCTGGCATCCATTTGCCTCATCTTCAAATAGTGTGATTAATAACGCATGATTTGGTGCCAATGCCATTAGCACATGTAGAATGGAGGTAGTCTGATGGAGAACTATGGTCTTACAGAGAGTTAATCCTTCTCATTGAGGGATGTTTAGAGCAGGGGTCAGCAAACCTTTTCCGCAGGGGGCCGGTCCACTGTCCCTCAGACCTTATGGAGGGCTAGACCACCTACCTACCTACCTACCTATCATCTATCTATCTATTATGGTACCTCGGTTTAAGTACTTAATTTGTTCCGGAGGTCCATTCTTAACCTGAAACTGTTCTTAACCTGAAGCACCACTTTAGCTAATGGGGCCTCCTGCTGCTGCCGCACCACCAGAGCACGATTTCTGTTCTCATCCTGAAGCAAAGTTCTTAACCTGAAGCACTATTTCTGGGTTAGCGGAGTCTGTAACCTGAAGCGTATGTAACCTGAGGTAGCACTGTATCTTTCTATCATCTATCTATCTATATCTATCATCTATCTATCTATCTATCTATCTATCTATCTATCATCTATCTATCATCTATCTATCATCTATCTATCTATCTCTATCTATCTATCTATCTATCTATCTATCTATCTATCTATCTATCTATCTATCATCTATCTATCTATCTATCTATCATCTATCTATCTATCTATCTATCTATCTCTATCTATCTATCTATCATCTATCTATCTATCATCTATCTATCATCTATCTATCTATCTATCTATCTATCTATCTATCTATCTATCTATCTATCTATCATCTATCTATCTATCATCTATCTATCTATCATCTATCTATCTATCATCTATCTATCTATCTATCTATCTATCTATCTATCTATCTATCTATCATCTATCTATCTATCAATCTATCTATCTATCTATCATCTATCTATCTATCTATCTATCTATCATCTATCTATCTATCATCTATCTATCTATCATCTATCTATCTATCATCTATCTATCATCTATCTATCTATCTATCTATCTATCTATCTATCTATCTATCTATCATCTATCTATCTATCTATCTATCTATCTATATCTATCTATCATCTATCTATCTATCTATCTATCATCTATCTATCATCTATCATCTATCTATCTATCTATCTATCTATCTATCTATCTATCTATCCGAATTCCTATGCACACTGTGAGAGGGGCAAGTAGTCCTCCTCCCCACCCCTGCCCCGGCCCCCTTCTCGGTTTCCTGCCAGCCTCATTCGCCGAAGGGCTGGTGGCAGTGGCACGAAACGGGCTTCCTCCCTGCCTAGAGGAAGAAAGTGCGGTGCTTACCTTCCCAGGGGCTGCTGCCACCACCACCGCTGCTGCTTCTCATGAAGCGGGTAGACAAAGTGAGCTTGTCTGCTCCGCTTTCTGGCCCACAGAAGCACCAGGGTGGCGACAGCGATGGGAGGAAGAGGCTGAGTGGCGGCAGCTCTGCCAGTCAAACGCCCCGCCTGGTTTACCTCAGCACAGCGCGGGGATGTCTCTGCCAGTCAAATGCCGCTGAGGTAAGCCAGGCGCGGCGTTTGATTGGCAGAGCCGCCGCCGCTTGGCCTCTTCTTCCCGTTGCCATCGCTGGGAGTCTCGGCTTCGCGATGGGTTCTAGCTTTGCTGTGCGGGCCGGATTTAGGACCCAGGTGGGTCCACAGTTTGTCGACCCCTGGTTTAGTATAAATAGTAGCTGAGGGCCCACCCTACAACTTGAATGGCTTGCTCATGGTTGCATGTGGGCAAGCCCTCAGAATGCAGGTTTTGCCCTTTCCCAAACTTGGGTTTTCAGCTGTTTTTGGACTACAACTCCCATCATTCCTAGCTAGCAGGACCAGTGGTCAGGGATGATGGGAATTGTAGTCCCAAAACAGCTGGAGACCCAAGTTTGGGAAACAGTGGTCTAGAAGAACTTTAGAAGGTAGTTGTAATATCTTGTGATGAGGAAGAACTGTTCCTTGAAGCCTTGTTGTGTCTTCAGCTGTCTGTGGTAGGGATGGAGAAACGGGATGGGCAGTGGGGGAGCTCAGGACCCAATCCGTTGGCCTGCATTGTTGTTTCCAGTCCCCTTGGGCAGCCCCTTCCCCTAAGTACACCTCAGTTGCTTTGAAGAGGTCCTTTGCCTCTGGGTCTTTGTGTGAGCAGCAGAGCATAAGCTGAGGTGCAGCCTTCCCCTGCCAACCCTAGTGCCCTTGAGATGGTTTGGATGACAACCAATAGCAGCTGTCATCCAAAACATCTGGGGGGCACTAGGGTTGGGGGGAAAGCTGCTTAAAGGGGAGCTGGGTGTCCTGCACAGAGTCAGATCATCCATCCATCTCACTTAGCATGATCTATACCATCTGATAGCAGCTTTCTGGATTTCAGATGGGGGGGGGTCTCTCCTGGCCCTACCTGCAATGCTGGGGATAGGACCTTCTTCATGCAAATTAGATGCTCTACCACCCGTTCCCCAAGTGTGCTATGGCCTTGGCTGTCACTTCATGTTTGTGGGTGTGCAATTTAGATTGGGGAAAACTAGGTGGGTCCCATTTGGTCAGGGGTGGGGAACTTGTGGCTCTCCAGATGTTGTTGGGCTGCAGCTCCCATCTTCCCTGATCGCTGACCTTGCTGGCTGGGATTGGTGGGAGTCCAGTAAAATCTGGAGGGCCAGAGGGAGCTGGCTTATTCCAACCTTGCACTTAAGTACGTAGCAATGGGTGACCAGGAATTGCATGTAGGCGAGTGAGCAGGCTGGCACAGCATGGATGGAGCACTGCATCCATCCTCTATGCTTGGCATAGAAATCAAATGGGCTTCTAGAAGAGGGAAGTCCTCTCTTCTGTTCAGGCTAGTATTTTTTTACCTATCCTGCCTTTCTTCCAAGGAGCCCAAGGTGGCATATATGTGGATCTCCCTCCACTCCCCATTTTAGCATCAGAACCCCTGAGAGGTAAGTTGGACTGGGAGACAGTGACTGGTTTGAGGTCACCTAGTGAGCTTCATGATTGAGTGGGGGTTTGAACCATTATCTCCTAGGTTCTAATCCAGTGCTCTAACCCAGGATTTCCAAAACTTGGATCTCTTAGCTCTTTTTGGACTACAATTTCCATCATCCCTGACCACTGGTCTTGGTGGCTAGGGATGATTGGAGTTGAGTTTCCAGCTGTTTTTGAACTACAAGTTTGGGAAGCCCTACTCAGCAGCTAGACTGGTGACTGGGAGCGGCCGCAGAGATCACATAACACCGGTCTTGAAAGACCTACATTGGCTCCCGGTACGTTTCCGAGCACAATTCAAAGTGTTGGTGCTGACCTTTAAAGCCCTAAACGGCCTTGGTCCAGTATATCTGAAGGAGCGTCTCCACCCCCATCGTTCTACCCGGACACTGAGGTCCAGCACCGAGGGCCTTCTGGCGGTTCCCTCACTGCGAGAAGCCAAGTTACAGGGAACCAGGCAGAGGGCCTTCTCGGTAGTGGCACCCTCCCACCAGATGTCAAAGAGAACAACAACTACCAGGCTTTCAGAAGACATCTGAAGGCAGCCCTGTTTCGGGAAGCTTTTAATGTTTGATGTATTATAGTATTTTAATATTCTTTTGGAAGCAGCCCAGAGTGGCTGGGGAAGCCCAGCCAGATGGGCGGGGTATAAATAATAAATTATTATTATTATTATTATTATTATTATTATTATTATTATTATTATTATTATTATTCTAACCACTGCTCCACACTGGCTTTTATGAGTGGGCAGGGCTGGTGTCCTGATCCCTTGGCCCATTCACACAATTTACCCCATATTCTAAAATGATGGGGAATATGCTTTTAAAATCCATTTTAATGAGCCTTTTTTCCATGGAGCACAGGTGTTGCTCCCATCCAAAGTAAGGTGCATGGTCAACAGAGAGACTTCTCAGTGATGGCACCCATCTGCAGAATCCCTTGCATGGGTGGTGCTGTTCTGGCTACATAATGTGGATCCTTATTAGCTTATAGGATTTATAATTTAGGAGAACTACTGTTCTCATACTTTTATTTCTGTTTAAATAAACCATCTCTTCTTTCCAGTTCACAGCCAAGCAACCATGATGGGTTTTTTTATGATAAGTCGAACAACAGGACCACCTGGTGGCAAACTGGCCCCTTCTGGAAGCTCGAGTAAACCCAGGAGAACATCCTCATGCTTTAATTTGGGTTTGGCAACAACCGCCCAAAGACAGACATGGCAAACTGTCTTGTCCATCATTCCTCTTCTTTTTGCCAGCACTGCTGCTTATAACGAAAGCTATTTAGCTGCGACTTACCAGACTCCACCTGGCACAAAACCAGGGTCTTCAGATTCCTTGCCTTTCCAGAACGTTACTGATGGGCAGCAGTTGACTAGGCAAGACTTGCAAGATTGGTCTGACAGTGGCCAGCCACGTTTTCCTGCTACAGGGAGAGATCTGTATACTGCAAACTTATCAGCCAGCACGGCTGGCACTGTTGACTGGTCCTTTGTTGCAAATACCCAGTGGGATTCAAGTACTGTCTCTGGAAATATGGAGTTAAACTTTAGTGAGCAAGGACCCCTGAGTGTTGACTCCACTGTCTTGAAGATGGACGAGAACAGTTCTAATGTTCTGGACCTTGCAACTTCACTCGTGCCTGATTCTACAAGCATTTCTCTTAAGCTTGCTTCTAAAGGGATTGAGCAGCTAGAAATTACCACGGCACCTCTGTCTCTCATATCACAAGCAGTAGGAACTGAAAAAATGGAGACTGCTTACACCATAAGGGTAACTCCTACACTGTCCCCAATATTGCCTCTTCTAGACATGAGCAGCTCCTTGCCGTTGGATCCAAATATAACACACCAGTCTGCACCTGCTTTCCAAAATACTGCTGCTGCTACTGATCAGCCAACTGCTGCTGACACTGTGGTCTTAACTTCAAGAAACCCAATTGCTCTGGAGCACATCACCAGGGATGTGCAGGGCCTACATGAAACGTTGTTGTCTTCAACTGAAATGGTCTACAAAACCAGTATAAGCAGGATAATGTCTGAGTATGCTGGCACAGCTACTTCTACACATAGTGACTTCCTCAGTGAGCAGTACAGGAAGAAAGAAGGGTCCTACCTAACATCTGTAGGTTATGAGACACTGCATACCACTCATCAAGATTCGATGACCTCTTCTGTTGGAACAACTTCTCCTGGAATCACTAATATAAGGATGAAATTTCTCCACCCAAGTAGTGGGCATGCATCCCATATTTCTCTGGCTTCCACACTGCACACTCCTGCCAATACCTTGCCTGGCTCTTCTTCACAGTCTTCTGGTGCAAGTTCACATAAGGCTGACTCTGAGCCGAATATTGTGTCCAATGGCCAGAAACTTGATACCACTGAATCATTGAGTAGAGGGCCTCCTGCAGCTGTTCCTGTAACTTTGTCCCAGTCTTCCCTCCGGCCCTCACTTAGTCATTCAAATGAAGCTTTGCCAGCTGTTACTTTACATGCTTTTACAACTTTGGCAGGCTCCACAGGATCTAGAAAGTCCAGAGGGTTTCCCACTCCGCAGCAGCTTGAACTCCTAAGCACTGGCTTTTCTCCACATAGACCTATCCCCATGACTACAGAGTCTCCTTTTGTGTCTTCACTGTCGGCTGCCACTGATGGAGCCCATGTCAATCCAGAGAACTACACTGAGGTCCCTCTGAATTCTGTCTTCCCTTATTGGGAGGGTAAGGGCACAATCCCGCCCGTCCATAGCTTACCATCTACAGCTGCTCTGACTAGGTCTTCAAGCCAACCAACCATGACAGAGTCCACCATGAACAGGTCCCCGTGGTCCAAAGCTAGAAATCCTACTTTACCCGTTTCTCATAGTTTGACAGCAGAGTCTTCTGCTGATGTGGCTCATGGCAGTGTTAACAAGGTGGCTTTGGAGACTACTACACATATTCCTCATTCATCAGCAGATGGGGAGGCAGCGTTCAGCCTTTCTCTTGCCACTATGTCACTCAGCCTTGGCACTCATGCAGAAACTGGCCTGTCTGTTGGATCCCAGAGTTCTCGGATGAAAGAGCAGGTCACATCTCTGCCGCCATCTCTTAGTACTACTGAAGAGGACTCTTTAGCCACTGTTGGGGTGATAAGCACTTCTGCAGGCAAAGAAGCTAGGCTGGAATTTAAGGAAGAGCCCTCTCCTGTACCACAGGAGCTTATTGGTTTCAATGAGGCCTCTACACATGGCACCATCTCAAACAGCAAAAGTGGCATGACCAACTTTGACATTAGTTCCCCACCCTGGCAAGCTTCAAGTTCTTCACTTGGCACATTGCATGCTGGGGAAGCTGAAACAGGATATAATGTTGGTCCACTGGAAGGTGTAACCAACACTGCTAGTTACAGGGAGCAGATGACCGAGCCCCATAAAATAACTGCTGCTGCTCAATTGATGCCTATGTTCTCCACGGAGGTCCCACTGATGGCTTCAGGAAGTACTCCAACTGAAGACTTGGTCTTTAGCTTAACTTCTGCAGAGTCCCCAGTTCAGCTGACAGATGAGCACTATGCTTTGCCCAGGAGGAGGAGTGGATCGATGCCAACCCCTTCTCCAATTTCTACCTCTCTTGCCACCTCGAGGGTTGTGCTGAAGTCCAAGGAGCCTTCTGAGCTAGGGCCTCTAACAGTGTCCTCGGCCACAAAGATGGCTAATGATTCCATTGTGCACACATTTACAGCAAGAAGTGACACTATGCGCCTCTCTAGCCCATACCTAGAAACAGCAGAGGCTACCCTGCCAAATAGAGATGTTTCTGATGGAACGGTACATGTTGATCTCTCTACAGGAGACGCTACGACCAGGTCTGCAGCAGAATTTCTCAGTGTGACTTCCCAGGGATGGAAGCTTGCCCTTCCAATGTCATCTCATGCCACAGCTTCACACGGAAACATAACAGAATCAGGAAGATTTTTGGTCATTCCAGCCCGTGGGTCTGTATCTACAAGCGCTATCTCAATGGGCTCCTCTAGGAGCAGCGTTCCCGAGTCAATTTTGAAGATAAATGATGAGGCTACTGAGGGCCCAATGAGCAGGTGGAAAGAGCAGGGGACACCTACCAACACAATGCTGCCTGTTGCGTCCAGTGCAGAAGCATGGACACACGATTTGAAAGCCATCACTTCTTCTCAAACAGCAGCTAACACTATAGATACAACCACACTTTTGCCTACAAGGGCCTCTGAGGTTGACTTCAATGTCTCTGCTGTAGCAACTACACTGGGGACCATACTAGGATACAAGATCACAGATGCCTTTACTGCAGCTGTCACACAAGTAGTTAGCACAATGGCTTTGCACGTTGGCAGCTCAGGGTATGAAAGTTCCACTGCCTCTCAAGGCCCTGCATATCTGTCTCTCCCAGAGACCACATCTACCCAGGCTGTCCCTGTGTCATCTGTTACAACAGATCCGCTGACTAGCCCAAGAATTCTTCCTGGTGAGTTGTCAAGAGCAGCTTGCAGGAATGCCCCTTGTACAGTGAGCACCATCCCAGCATCTTTCACACCGTCTCAAGGTGCATCAACTCAGATTCCCACTACTACCCAAGCACTCATGACTAGAAAGCTTTTGGTTACTCTACTGGGGTCAACAGATGCCATGAAGAATGGGGCCAGTGCAGTTCTTGGCACCAAGGAGACCAGCCCTGAGTATCTGATAAGCACAACTACACAAATGGTGTCTGGAAACCAAGACAGCAACACTCCAAAGCAGCCAGTGTCAAAGTTCGAGGCTCCAGCACTGAGCCAGTTCACCAGGAAGGAGAGTTTTACCTGGAGAACATCTACACCACCTGTTCTGGCTGTGTATAATCTGCCTCTGCAGTTCCGTCTCATTGGAATTGATTATGATGAATCCTTGCAGAACAAGTCCTCTCAAAGCTACAAGACGCTGGAGAAAGAAGTAAAGTTGACCGTAAGTATTCTAGACAATGGTTTCAAAAAAACACACACTACCATACCTATTTAACTGACTTTGGATCAGATTTTGGCGCATTTTTGACATTATCACTGTGGTAATCTACCCTTCCACCACTTTGTCCTACAGGATTGGTGGTGGTGGGCCCTCTACCCATGGGTGAGGCCAACTCTAGGAATCCGTACTATTCTTTTTATCCCTCTTGAGTCAATTACTTGCACAGTTGTACAGCAGATCTGCAACTTACATGCATTTAACTTGCGCCCACTCCGCTTTACACACTTGGCAATTACCATATTTTTCGCTCTATAACACGCACCCGACCATAACACGCACGTAGTTTTTAGAGGAGGAAAATCCATAGGCATGCCACCCGTAGGCATTCCCTCCATAACACGCACAGACATTTCCCCTTACTTTCTAGGAGGAAAAAAGTGAGTGTTATGGTGCAAAAAATACGGTAATTTTTTTTAAGAGGGCCAGAAAGCCTACTGTACAACTATACCATCTACACTTGTTGCTCTTCTCTTTGTGCTCTGGCTTTTCTGAAACTGGCAAGTGGCCCCTGGAAAATTGCCTAGGAGGGAACGTCCCCTTTGGACTGAAAAAGGTTCTCCACCCCTGCTGTTAAGGCGAAAACGGCATCGTTATGTGCCTGGTCCAATTTGTCTCTTGCTGTCCAGGAAGAGCAAACACTGAGCTTCATCTCCATCTGCATATTTGTTCTGTGGGAACTCTGCATTCTAAATGTTCTTCTGGGCAAACAGTCCCTGCACAAATAAGCATCTTTGTGTTCTGCTTTCAGTTAAACAAGATGCTATCTACCTATGAGACCTTTCTTCAAGCAAACATTCTCCGTTTCTTGTAAGTTACTCTTTATTGACCGCACTGTTGTGTTTCCAGAGAGAACAAGGTTGGCCTGTTCAGAAAGTACCTGGCTTTCATTTCTTGAGCATTATCACACATCGCTTAGCTGTGAACTTAGGATTCACCTTCAATGTAGAAAAAGGCCTTTTTTTTGAGGTGCACTTCAAGCTGAGAGAAAGAGAGAACTCATTCATTCCTCATCAATGTTTGTTGGTGCAACTTGAGCTACACTCTTCAGCAGGTCTCTGCTATACATTTCAAGCTGTAGCCTACCACTTTAAACACTCGCAGCTTCCCACAAAGAATCCTGGGAATCCATTTGTTAAGGGTGCTGTGAGATGTTCAGAGACCCTCTTCCCCTCATTGAGCTACAATTCCAAGAGGTTCCTGGGAAGAGGGCTTGAATGATACGCCACTCTAGGAACTGCAACATGGCGAGGGGAAGAGGGATCTGCTAACCACTCTCAATGCCCATAACAAACGACAGTTCCCAGAATTCTTTGGGGGAGGGGGAAATCACAACTGTATTAAGCAATACATTATTGCTTTGAGTGTATAATGCAGGTGGGTCTTCACCACCAGTGCGCCTGTGAATTACCTCCAAATATCATTGGGTGGTTTGGAAATGCGAGTGGCACCAAGACATGGAGTATCTGAACCAGACTTTCTCACCCAGATACTGCTGGATTGCACCTCCAGTCAGCCTTGACCATTGCCCACACTGGCTTCGCTGATGGGAGCTGCAGTTCAAAACATCTGGAGGGGCACCAGATCTAAACAGAGGAGGATGAATAGAGGAGGCCCATGCCTACAAGCTCCATCCTAACCGTCACACATTCAATGGGGAAGTCTCAATTTTCTCATTCAGTTGATCAGGCGTAGAGTTCTCTCAAAGTTCGGGAGAATGCATAATGGGAAGAGTCTATATATAAATAACAGAATCAGATAAGTGCTGGAAGTGCAAAGAGATGGAGGGAACGTTCTTTCACATGTGGGGGACATGTAAAAAGGTAAAAGAGTATAGGGAAATGATTTATAATGAATTGAAAAAAATGTTTAAAATTACTTTCCCCCCCCTCCCCAAAACAGAGTCCTTTCTGTTGGGAATAACCCAGACTGAAATTCCCAGGTGTCAGAAAAGGTTATTTATGTATGCCACTACTGCGACCTGTGTTTTGTTAGTCCAAAAATGGAAAATAAGCAAGGTCCCACTTAAAGAAGAATGGCAACTTAAGCTGACAGAATATGCGCAACTTGCAGACTTAACATATAGAATATGAGAACAAGAACATACGTTTAGAGAAATATATGGAAAAAATTGTGTACACTTTAAAACGTTGGCAGCATTAAGATAAATTCAACAGTGTAAACAAGTTTTGATGGATGCAATAATGGAATACTGAATGATTTAGTTTTTCGAAAATATGCAGGGATTTATGATATTTAAAATGAACCATGGAAAGAGAAGAAAGGAAGTCATTGATATTTTAAGGATGTTTAAATGAGTATTTTAATGGGAACACTCCAGGGCCCATTTCCTTCTGGCATTTTGAGAATGCATGGAAGCCAAAACTTTGCTCTCCAAGTAGAGTTTAAAATGGTTAGTCATAGCACGTCATCCCAAACTTGCTCTTCTAGGAACAGGGGATCATATTGATCAATTTGATGGCACTCCAGAGGTTGGTGGATTCTTTCCTCCTTGCAATGGTGTTATGATAGGAGGTCTACTAAAGGTAAAGGGACCCCTGACCATTCGGTCCAGTCGTGACCGACTCTGGGGTTGTGGCGCTCATCTCGCTTTATTGGCCGAGGGAGCCGGCGTACAGCTTCCGGGTCATGTGGCCAGCATGACTAAGCTGCTTCTGGCGAACCAGAGCAGCGCACGGAAATGCCGTTTACCTTCCCGCCAGAGCGGTACCTTTTTATCTACTTGCACTTTGACGTGCTTTCGAACTGCTAGGTGGGCAGGAGCAGGGACCGAGCAACGGGAGCTCACCCCGTCGCAGGGATTCGAACCACCAACCTTCTGATCGGCAAGTCCTAGGCTCTGTGGTTTAACCCACAGTGCCACCCGCATCCCTAGGAGGTCTACTAGAGGTGGACAAATACATCGTGGTTGTTCTGGCTTCTCCTCAGGAATGGCTCTGTGATCGCTGAGGCTGTGGCTGTGTTCCAGGCTGGAGGCCCTGTTCCCACACCCTCGGACATCATCCGTACAATTGTCACAGAGGTGGAGAGGCGGGAAATGGACACCTTCTTTGGCTGGAGGGTGGATCTGAAATCTCTTCAGTCAAAAGGTGAGCTCTGTTGGCATATCTGAAAGCCATCATAAAGACAAGGAGGATCTGGAAGTTGCAACAGCTATGATCGTTGCAGCCAGACTAGTCATAGCAAGAAACTGGAAATCTGATAAAGCATTTGACGTCTTACAATGGAATAAAACTATATCGGATGTAGCATAGTTGACAGAACCTGTGTATTATATAGATGAGTAATTGAAGGACGTGTAGCAAATGAATTTACTGGTGGGGGGGGAAATAGTATATTAACAGTATGAGGCCAGTTTACTTGTAAGATAGCTGTATACCATATTTGCTCACTCAAGCGCTTTGATATGTTACCTGTGCACTGAAATACTTGCTTTGCAAGTATTTTAGTTGTGTGCATGGTCTCTCTTTTACACTCACAATGTTGCAAAATTTAGGCAGTGGTACCCACTTATGTGGAGACAAATGATTGACAGACACAGCAATTTGGAGAAAAAGAAGGTGAAGTTTATTGCTGAGCAATAATGGGACCCAGCTGGAATCCTTTCCAAAAGACTGGGACCCCAAAGAATTCAAGTTCAGGAGTTATATACCTGAGTGCAGCATCACAGATCATGAGACAATCACAAACGCCAGCGAAAAATAACCAATGAGCGCGCAATTCTGCCATGCTCTTGACCGTGCGCAGAGTACAACTCCCAACTTCTGCTTTCCTTTGTCTGTACAGTCTGACCTTTTCCCTAGTTGATGGAACAGGGAATAGAAACTTCAGCTAGGAGGGGATCTCCTGACGATAACTCCCCCGTGCATCTGTTCATGTAGGGGTATTGTGGTCAGCCCTTCCTGTTTCGTGTACAATTTTAGTATGGACTAGAGGGAGAGTTGTACCAGCGTCTTCTGATTTATAGCTTCCCCTTTCTCTAGGGTGCAAGAAAGCACTGGGGGAAAGGTCCATCTCTGAACTTGTGGTTTCAAGCAGTTTTTCTGTTAGACTAGGCAAAAGCTTTTTATGATTCAAATGGATTATAAAAATCACTGTAAAACTCTGGTTATATGTGAGCATATGTGAATATATTGATAACTGATTATATGAATAGCTGATTATATGAAAAGCCTAAGGATAATAATCTAGGGTCCTGCTTCAACAACAGCCCTGCAGGGTAGATTTTGTTGGGAGAGTGCCTGCCCAAGGTCAGCTCTGTGACTGAGTAGGGGGTTTGAACCCAGGTCTCTACTCCAGTTTTCTCTCTAAACACACACACACACACACACACACACACACACACACACACACACACTTGCTGTCTCAAGATCAACTGTCTATACTATATATTTAAAGAAGATGAATAAATGAGTAAATTAGGTTAATTTGGATATGCAGAAGATATTACAAATAAAGGAGCCGCAGAAAGAGGGGGGAGGAAGTCAAATTTTAAAAGGTCAACATGATTGTAAAATTGGTGAAATGTATAAAAATTAGTGAAATGTATAAACCTGAAAAGTATAAATAATTTTTTTTTAAAACCCACAGTCTATACAGCAGTAATAGCAGTCATTTGATAAGCTAGAGGAGGGAGGAAGAAAGCAAGCATGTTCCTTTTTCTATTAATAATTATAAAACAAATAAAAAACATGAGAAATAAAAGCAATTATTATTAATTGCTCTGTCCCTTGAATGTTATCTGTATCTCTACTAGGGTTCAGCTTGAAAAACCTAGAACCAGAGAAGCTGGCTGTATCATTCACAGTTCTGGGGCTGGGATCTTCAGCATGGCATGATGAACTTGATGGCATGATGAACCTGGAACATATGGAAAAGCTAAGACGCAAGGTAATTTGGGGGTGAAAGGCCCTTTGGCTTCAGGTGTGGGAGACTTAACGTCTGGAAGATGCTGTCCTCCTTATGAGTTGGTTGCAATAATTCTCTTTTTACCTTTCTCATTCTTACAGCTAAATCAGATGTAGTTGGGTGGCTGTAGCAGTGTAGCCTAATCTTTTAATTGTGGCTGACACATCCTGCCTAAGCTTATTGGTGCTGGTGACAACTCCTCACTTAGAAAACTGATCCTCCCTTACCCACAATAGCTCTCAACCCTGCTTTTAGTGAATTGCAAGCCACCTAAGTGTATCAGATGGGAGCAAAAGGCAGGAAAAGAGAGTGCAGAATAAAAGGAAGGAATAGATTGCAGCTAATGAAGTTTTGTAAGCAGTGCTTCGGGTTGCTTGGCATCTGTGGTGTTGAAGAAGCCCGGAAGTCATGTCTAAAGCAGTGATGGAAAACCTGCAGTCCCAAAACTTAGGAGGATCGCAGCTTCCATCATCCCTGAACATCAGCCAGGCTGTCTGGGGCCAATGGGAGCTGGGAGTCGAAACATAATCTCTTGGGCACCTGCTCCTGATCTAGAGGGAAGTACATAGCTGACCTTTAAAGCCCTTAATGGCGTCGGTCCTGTATACCTGAAGGAGCATCTCCACCCCCATCATTCAACTCGGACAATGAGGTCCAGCGCCGAGGGCCTTCCGGCAGTTCCCTCGCTGCGAGAAGTGAGGTTACAGGGAACCAGGCAGAGGGCCTTCTTGGTAGTGGTGCCTGCCCTGTGAAACACCCTCCCAGCAGATGTCAAGGCAATAAGCAACTATTTTACTTTTAGAAGACAACTGAAGGGAACTTTTTAAATGTTTGATGCTGTGTTGTTTTTAATATTCGGCCGGAAGCCGCCCAGGGTGGCTGGGAAAGCTCGGCCACATGGGTGGGGTACAAATAAATTATTATTATTATTATTATTATTATTATTATTATTATTATTTTATTTTATTTATTAATTATGGCATGCCACCATAGAGGAGGCCCCCTCTGGCTGGCACCTGCCTGACCTCCACAAGTGGCAGCATCTGAGAAGGCCTTCAAATGGATGAATGGGCAAGTTCACCTGGAGTCAGGTGCTGCTTTTACATACCATGGTCAGGTCTTTTTTTTTTTTTAAAGATATTTATTAGAATTTTACAACATGAAAAAAGAAAAAAGAAAAATACAAAATCAAAATAGATAAAAAACAATTCCATCTTTTGATCACTTTCTTTCATTTGCTTATTTCCCGGACCTCCTCACACCTCCCATTTTGTATTCCAGTTCGATTTATTAGTTCAGCAAATCCTTCCCCTCTTTATTTTATCCTAATCTTTAATCTTAAAATAAAGTAACATTAAATTTTTGTCTGTTAATAGTCCATTATTTTTTCCCCATACTCCTTATAGCATTATAGCTAAAAACCACATAACTTTTCATCCAACGTCATTCTAACATTCATTAATTTTACAATATTTCTGTAGGTAGTCTTTAAATTTCTTCCAATCTTCTTCCACCAACTCTTCTCCCTGGTCTCGGATTCTGCCGGTCATTTCTGCCAGTTCCATGTAGTCCATCATACCATGGTCAGGTCTTGCCCTCATTGGGAAGCAAAGGAGGACGTGGCTTGAATGGCTTTGGGAAGATTCCTGTCTTACCTCTTTGTGGGTCCCAAGTGCCTTCAGAACCCTGTGTCTGCTCTTTCCCCTTATTCCTGCTTCAGTCAGGACCTTGCTCTCGTCTCTTGTTACTTGCCCTGTTCCCGCCCCTGTTCACTCCCTGCATCTCTGCTTGTTCCTCCTCCATTTCATGCTTCCTTACACATTCCCACTTTCTCCCCATTCTCCCTTCACTTATTGGCTGGGATCCACTCTCAATGTATCTCTCATCCCACTGTTATCCTCTGCTGGGCTGAGCGGTGCTGCATCCTCAGCAAGGCTTCCCCCGCTTTATCCTTTCCAGTCCAACTGACTCACCTTCCAGCTGAACCACCAATGCTGTGGAGCATTGAAGAGGAATCTCCCCCAAGCTCTGCTGACAGGGTTCTTGTGGCCTCATCTTCCCTTGTTTTCCATGGAAACCCTAAGCTCTGCTAAGCATGAGACTCTTAATCTCAGGGTCATGGATTAAAACCTTCCAACTCTACAATTCTATGATTCTGTCCGGCGGTGATGGCTCCAGCTTTGAGATTTAACATCTGCATGCTGATGAATTCTGAGTAAGAACAACATTGACTTTTGTCTGTAGGTGTTCCTGTTGCTTGGAACTCGGTACACAGTCCAGAATATCTCTCTTAATCAAGTTGGGTATGTACATGAGTTAATCTCTTTTAGGGGCTGGGCAGTGGTGGTGTTGGGCAGCTTACAAGTGTCGGCTTCTGTTTTGTGTCCTAGTGGGAAGGATCCACTCTTGAAGAAGGTAAATCTGTGGTCATGGCATCTCCTATACTAGATTTGTACTGGCTCAAGCAAACAGCTTGTATCTCAGCAAAGCTTTATAATGGGGAAAGGGGAACCTGCGGTCCTCAGTGTTGGACTACAACTCCCATCAGTCCAGGCCAGCATAGCCAATGGTTGGGACTTGTAGTCCGGCAATATTTTGGATGCTTTCACAGGTTCCTCTTCCCTACTTTATAATCTGAACACTAGAAAGTGCTGGTGTATACTTTTTGAGCTGGAGGTATGAGCTATCTAGCACCTAAAAGCCTAGGCTGGTCAAAGCTGGATAACCTTCTCTTGGTCGTAGTCTTGGTGTGTATTGATGGAACCTTTGGACTTGACTAGGAATAAAATGCTTTTCACCAGTAACTTGTTGTTTGAGCAGGACCTCAAAGACCTCTATGATTGAGTGCCTGATCAAAACCAATCCCAAGTATTAAAACAGTCAATGTTTTTCAACATGTTTGGCCAGGTGCCTGCTTAATAATATTTTTATTATTTATACCCCACCTATCTGGCTGGGTTCCTTAGGGTGTATTGTAGCACCACTTGGGGGTAGGTACGGATACTCTCTTATGTGCACAGGGTAACACAACTTCTGTTGCTTGCAGATATAGCCAAGGTGGTGTCAGTATAAATGGAGATGTCTATATTGATACCAGTGCTCATGTGGACATTGACTGGGCTCTAAAAGCACTGATGGGGCTTAGAAACTACTCTGTGGACCTCACGTCTCTCTCCATCAATGGTCAGTAGCCGCTCTCCTTCTGGCTTGCTTTTAGGGATGATGATGGGCAGTAGGTGGGAAGCTTAATTCTCTGCTCCTAACCCATGCTTTCTGCTTACAGGGTCACGCCTAAGTCTCCAGGTCTTTCCAGTGTCTTTCTTGGTAACCAACAGGATATTCAACGAGAGAATGATGGATCGTTCTTCTGTAGAGCATCAGAACATTGCCAAGGATATATCTGATGTGGTAGGCATGAGATGTTAATACTAAACGTTAATGTTTGGTATGGTCTCTAATACAAGGACAGGGGACCTCCAGCCCATAAGCTGGATGTGGTCCTTCAGACCTCTCTGTCTGGCCCTTCAACTCTCACTAGCCCCATTCCATCCTGCCCTCTAAGACACATTCCAGATAGGTAAAAGCACTTGAACTGCTGCTTCAACAGCAAGGGATGTAAGATGGAATTGCTTGAAGGAGCAGGAAACCACTGGATGATGAAAAAGGATGCAACTGGCCATCTAAGGGGCAGGGAAGTATTGAGGATATTCAAGCAGAGAAGAGGCTGGCAAGGCCACAAAAAGCTCAAAGGCGAAGCAAGGTGTTTGTGCAGGATCTTGCTGCTTGCAGGAAGCCAATGAAGGAATTTAAGCTTTATGATTTCCTAGGATTTTGAGTAATGATTCGCAGAGCAAGTGACCAACTGTAAACATCTATTATTATTATTATTATTATTATTATTATTATTATTATTCCAGCTAACGCATATTCTGGGGAAGTACAAAAACCTCCTGCAAGTGGCAATCCGAGACATCACGTAAGTAATTCTGTCTTGATTTTCAGTTGCTCTAATACAGACTAGGCACTGAAAGCTGAAACTCACAGGTGAGTCTTTTTTTTTCATTTGCAAAACCTGCACAGCCTTTTTAACCTAGGGAAACTGGACTTGTTTTTTAAAGGCTAAGCTTATCTCTTTTAAAACCAAGGTGACTCTCCCACTAGCTGCGCCTCTTATTGTGTGAAGCCAAATATATTAGTGGGCTTTTCTTTTTACCCCTCTCTTCAAAATTGTAAGTTTGCCTGGTCTGCCCTTTCTTCACAACTGGGAATTTAGCCAAATTTCTGCACTAGAGTAGTGCTGAAAACTTGGTTCCTACAGGTTCCTATCCTTAAGCCTATCTCTTTGTCCTGACTACAGCGGTGGATCCCTGATATGTCATGGAGATGTGATATTCCAGCACCCAGCTCCAACCAGCAAGGATGTCCTACAGACGCTCGCTCTTTCAGTTGGCCCGAAGGATTATCTGGACTCCTCAGATCTCCAAGTGGACCCATTCTCCTTTACCGTAGCAGGTATGCCAGTATAAGTTTCAGAAAGGGGCCTTAAAGGGAAAGCATTGCAGTAATCTAATCTTGAGTTTACCAGAGCATAGACAATAGTAGTTAGGCTATTCTCGTCCAGATAGGGGCATAGCTGGGCCACCAGCCGAAGCTGATGGAAGGCACTCCTGAGGCCACCTGAGCCTCAAGTTGAGAGCAAAGGATCCAGGAGTTACCCCCAAGCTACAAACCTGCTCCTTCAGAGGAACTGTAACCCCATCTGAAGCTGGACCAATAAAGCACTTCTGAATTATAATCTGCTTTCTCCCCCTGCAATTAGCAGTGGGTGGTGGATGATGAACTTCCTAAATGAACTTCTAAGAACCATCCAACTCGATGATTCTGTGACTTCTCTTCATTTTCAATATTTATTTAGGTGATGGGCTGGAGCCTCCCGTTATACATCGAGGTGTCCCTGGCTATGTGGTAGCCATCATTGTGCTCTGTGTCCTTGCAATAGTTGCTCTTCCTATCCTGGCTCTGCTGGTAAGTATCTCATATGAACCATACAATCATTCTTTTTTGCATCGCTCTGGCTTTGTTTTGCCCTAGACCAGCATTTCCCAAACTTGGGTCTCCACGTAGCTGGTTTTGGACCACAACTCCCATCATTCCCAAGTAGCAGGACCCCAGTGGTCAGGGATAATGGGAACTGTAGTTCAAAACAGCTGGAGACTTGAGTTTATGAAACACTACCCTAGTTAAAGAGCAGCTCCCTCCCTGCGCCCCAATCAGAACCAGGGTGACAATGTCCAATGGGTCAAGGCAGGTCCTGCTATTCAGTTTTTCCCTTAGGCAGCTGACCTGTTGGCAGTTGGAATGCCCCCCAAGTCAGGTGGGAGCTTGATGGAGTTCCCCTCCTCCCTCACCCATGTCAGGAATCACTTTTTATATCACAAAATGTTTTTGATTGTTTTCTTCTGAGTCTGGCATGTAGAAGGTAAAGTGTGCTGAAAATAAGGTTCTTGAGCAAACTGCAAGACAGAGGTGCAGAACCTGATCTGGATAGAGGGCCAGATCTTTTTCTCCTCTGTGCCACCAACCTGATACGCGGGCGGTGCTGTGGTCTAAACCACTGAGCCTCTTGAGCTTGCTGATCGGAAGGTCGGTGGTTCGAATCTGCGCAGCGGGTGAGCTCCTGTTGTTCTGTCCCAGCTCCTGCCAACCTAGCAGTTTGAAAGCACGTCAAAGTGCAAGTAGATAAATAGGTACCACTCCGGCGGGAAGGTAAACTGCGTTTCTCTGCACTCTGGTTTCTGTCACAATGTCCTGTTGTGCCAGAAGTGGGTTAGTCATTCTGGCCACATGACCTGGAAACCTGTCTGTGGACAAACACCAGCTCCTTTAGCCTGAAAGCGAGATGAACATCACACTCCATAGTCACCTTTGACTGGACTTTACTATCCAAGGCTCCTTTACCTTTTAGCTTTACCCACCCATCAGTCACCTGATGGCACAGGGACATCTGGTGATGATTACCAAGACTTCAGAGCACAGCACAGGCCTATCCACTGGTGGGCCATCACTTGAATCCTGCTTTCTGCAGGGATTGGCCATGCGAGTTTGGAAGATCTGTGGCTGTCCTCTCTCTATCAGTCCCAGCCAGTGTGGTCAATGGTCTGGGGACAAGAGATGTAGTTCAGCAACATCTTGGGGAGCACCCAACTGGCACCCCTTGTCTACAGGTTTGGTAAAGCACTAAAGGCTTACCGGTAATCTTGTATTAGGCGAGATCTTCAGATGATCCTGTTTTGTAGGAATGATGTACATCTTTGGTAGGGGCATGCCTGCTCCAGACTTCTGGAAGCAGCTTTCTTTTGTACTATGAGCAGCCTATTCCATTCAGCGCCACTTAGTTTGGAAGTCTGGGTGGTTCAGTTGGTTGGAGCATTGTGCTGATAATGCAAGGTTGCAGGTTTAATCCCCATATGGGACAGCTGCATATTCCTGCACTGCAGGGGGTTGGACCAGGGTCCCTTCCGACTCTACAGTTCTATTATTCTAACTGGCAACTTGCTAGGCTACAGTCCCTTAACCAGCTCTGCTAACTTCTCCTAAGCGAAAGGTGCGTGGCCGGAGAGACAAGATTATTATCAACAGGTGGCGTGACCATGAAGCGTGCGTGGAGACATTTGAACTAGATAACCCAGGATTCTACCCAACTCCGGATGAGGTATACTCCAGACTGTCAGAACATATGGAAAAATGTGAGTGTGCAGCCAGCTCCAAAGGAGTTGAAAGTTCCCCAAACTGGCCTTTGAAGAATCTAGAAATCTTTGGTATTTTGGTTATACATGCCTTGGATTTTTTAAATTTTTATTTTGGCAGGGGGAGAAGGGACAAGGGCTTCTGCCATGAAAAAACTTCTTTGTGCATTGCCAAAGCACAACATCTGAATTGGCAGTGTGCTGATAACCGAATATACTAACCAAGGCACCGCCTTTCTTTTTTATGAGCAGAGTACATCAGGCTTTCGTGCTTCTGAATAAAAACAAAATAATTTGTGAAGACACACTCTCTTGATGTAGCTTAGATTTTTAAATTCTAGCAGATTAGAAACGTTGAAATGGTGATGGGGGATTGCAGTGTGTCCAGCACTGAAAGTCTCCCAGTTCACGGGCTTCTGGAGTTGACAGCGTTCTGTTTTGCTTTTTGCCCACAGGATGGTGCCAGATGCTAGACTAGAAGAATCAAAGGCTTGGGATGAAGATGGGATGTTTTCATACCATCTGAGTTGGGCCTTTTTGTCTGCTGATGTGATACCAAACAGTGTCTGAGCCAGAGCGGCGGAGGATGCAGGAAGGTGTCGACCAGTGACTGGTCATAAGAAGAAGAAATGCAAATACTGATCTTAACGCAAAATTGCTGCATAGTGTCTTGAACAGAATTGGAAAGGGGGATGTGGAAGCAACGAAACTTTTTTTTTAAAAGAGGGGAGTGTGTAATGGCTTCCCTTTGTAAATTCCACATTCGATTGACTGGGCATCTCTTTAAAACTAGAAGTGAGGTTTTAATGCCAGGAGAGGCAAATAGTCCAGAACGAGAGTGCAAGGCAGTAGCTGGTTGTGTTCTGTAGCTTTGAGGAAGGGTGGCCCCAGAACTTAAGCACACAGGTCAAAAGGTTTATTATACCTTTCCCTTGTGCCCATACTTGAGGCCTTCATTGTAAAGATCTTTCCTCCCGAACCAGCAAAGCAGTCTCGTATTTTTTTTATGACTAAGCTGATGTTTTATGTATGTCTTTAAAACATTTATTATTACTTTGTATGTTTAGGGCATAGAAGCTAGTCTTTTGTTAGTTTTTCCCGATTGGATGTTTACTGTTCCTGACCAGATCTTGGTAGGATAAGAACTCAAGGTGTGTTGTGTTGGGGTGGGGTGGGGTGGGGGGTAGGCAGATTTGGGGTGGGGGGCAGATAGAGCCCTGGGTATATCTGATGGTAACAGTCTCTTGAACAACCTGCAGACTTGGAAGCTCTGAACGCACCTCCCTTTTGAGATCATGTGCCCCTTTGCTGCTATTCCTCCAAATTTGTGCAGAACCCAGGTGGTTTCTATAGCATGAGGAATTTGAGGAATTTGGTTCGGTTTTCTAGCTAGGATGTCACAAGGGTGAAATTGATACAGACTGCCAGTGATCCCAAAGAGTCAACTTGTTATAACATGCATTTCAGCAGCCCAGCCTGGGATCCAAAAGATTTTATTGGTAGATGCACTAATTTCCAGGTGAGATCTTTAGCTTCAATTTTGCTACTGTATGCTTAACTGCAGGAATCTGGTTCTTTCAGTAGCTTTGAGGAAGATGTCTCTCCCTGGCTTCACACGTTTGCTAGCGGAGGTGTCTTATGTCTGTATTTTTTGAATGTCTAGTTTAAACTGGGAGTGGGGTTGGACTCCAACTCCCATCAGCCTGAGCCAACATCGCCAATGGTTGGGGATGATGGGAGTTGTAGTCTATCCATATCTGTAGGGCCGCAGGTTCCCTGCCTCTGGTTTAAAAGGTCCCTCCTGAGGAAACACAGTGTCTTTTGCTCACATTGCCTTTCCAAGGGAGCATCAGTTTTTACCTCATTTTGGCTTTTATCCCTGGCAAATGGTTTCCCCCTCCGAATCACTTGGCAGAAGTGCCTTTCTTTTAAAGTAATTAAGTTGAACCTGGTTAGTAAACACAATATACTTCCTCCCCTCTCCCCTTGGGCTCATTGCCATTATTTCCAAAGAATGATGTTTTGTATTAAAATATAGTTCTGAATAAACTGTAACAGCTTTTTTTTGAAGCCTGTCTTGGAAAGGTCTTTGTGGGGTATGTTGGGAGAGAATCCTGCTCAAAATGCTGGAGTGTTGCTGCTAGTGTGGATATGAAACACTGCTGAACTAGATGCAGCAGTGGTGTGGGGTTAAGGCAGCTTCCTATGTTCATAATATTTTTTCCCTTATTGGTAGAAGCTCCATGAGAAGGCACCATGATGACTAGGCACCATGCTGACTACACCATAGCTTTTCTTTAGGAAATAGCAAAAATAAGCAGGTTACTTAAGATTATTCTGAAAGCCTTTATAAATGAGAATAAAACAAGAGAATACATAATGTGTAACTCCCGGGATCCCTGACTGTGGCAATCACACAGGGTCTCCGGACGTTTGATGGTCTGTTGATCCCTGTGCCACCACTGTGATTGCTTTCTTCGCTGCCACCAACCCGTTTCTCTCGGGTACACACAGAGTCCAGACAGTTGTTAACATTAACAAATAATCAAGTTTATTTTATAAGCATGAACAAGTTTACTTTTCTAAAGCACCACATTGACTCTGCTTCCAGCAATGATTTGCTTGGTGTGAAAACAGTTGAATGAACAGCAATTTATGGCAGTCGCAGTCCGATAAAAGTCAATACAAGCACAGTGGACTGCATAATGAAAGTTCAAACTGTGGGAGTGGAAAATAGATCCGAGCCATGTGTGGGCAATTAACAAAAGAATCAGCTAAGCATCTAGATTCAAAACATGGGGCACTGCAAACTCTTTGGTGGGAGAGAGCTCCCAGCAAAGTTAAAAACACTATTGGAGTTAACCAGCAGCATAGGGTGGAATACAAGTTGTTAAACACTTTTGCAGATCCTGTTTAGTCTGCTTTATAGGTCTTGCCCCTGCTCTCTGCCCCTCTAGCAAAACACACGCCACACACTGTTGAGTAAGTTTTAAAAGTTTTCCTTACTAAATCAAAAGCTCTTATTCATGTGTTATTCCATGCAGCAACATGGAGAACACAGGTAGATATTATTATTGGGTGTGAAATACACAATATAGTTCAACTATGCAGTCTGAATCATTGTATCATAAATTGTAGAGTTGGAAAGGGGCTCCAAGGGTCAGCTAGTCTAACCCCCTGAACTCCACCTGCCCTGTGCCTGTGTGATCAGGTTCCTCACCTTTTGGAGAGTCTATTCAGAGCTACCAGTATGTACAAATGTGTGGCAGTTAAGAGTAAAAGCACCTGGAAGCGCCCTTAGGCTAAGTCAGGGATCAGCAAACTTTTTCAGCAGGGGGCTGGTCCACTGTCCCTCAGACCTTGTGGGGGGCCAGACGATATTTTGAAAAAAAATAAATGAACGAATTCCTATGCCCCACAAATAACCCAGAGATGCATTTTAAATAAAAGCACACATTCTACTCATGTAAAAACACGCTGATTCCCAGACTGTCTGTGGGCTGGACTGAGAAGGTGTTTCGGCCGGATCCGGCCCCCGGGCCTTAGTTTGCCTTCCCATGGGCTAAGTGTTTTCAGGATAAAGTACCTTCTATGATAAAGTACCTTCTTCTTCTAGGGACGCGGGTGGTGCTGTGGGTTAAACCTCAGCGCCTAGGACTTGCCAATCGCATGGTCGGCGGTTCAAATCCCCGCGGCGGGGTGCGCTCCCGTCGTTCGGTCCCAGCGCCTGCCAACCTAGCAGTTCGAAAGCACCCTCGGGTGCAAGTAGATAAATAGGGACCACTTACTAGCGGGAAGGTAAACGGCGTTTCCGTGTGCTGCGCTGGTGCTGGCTCGCCAGAGCAGCTTCGTCACGCTGGCCACGTGACCCGGAAGTGTCTGCGGACAGCGCTGGCTCCCGGCCTATAGAGTGAGATGAGCGCACAACCCTAGAGTCTGGCAAGACTGGCCCCTACGGGCAGGGGTACCTTTACCTTTACCTTTTACCTTCTATGATTGGATTGAAGACTTATATACAAACTCGCAACATATAAACGCAGACTTGCCATGGACAAATTCACTGATATACGGAATCCATTCTTACAAATACTATAATAGGTTAAGATCTGGTGAAGTACAATAGCAACCTTGTAAAATACACAGTTTTGGTTTCCCCTTCCTCCTTTATTTCCCCTTCTACACAGGTTCTGTTTCTCTTTCTCTTTTTCTCTCTTTTATTTACATCTCACCATGTTTAGTGCCCATATAATTATGTGCTTTTTGCACTTTCAATAAGGATTTTTTTTTTTAAAAAAAGACAGGATAAAGTCCCAGCGATTCAAGCTGCATTGTCTCCAGCTGAGGCTCATTGCTCTTATTCCTTCTCTACAGCTGGCAGGGGAGGCAAGGCTGCTTGGAACGCAAGGCAGCTGTGAAGGGGCTGGGTCTACAGCATTTAAAGCCTTCCTCTCCTGCCCTGGTCCTCTTTGGGGCACAGTGGGTGGTGGGTTAATTTTGCAGTCAGAATGGGGCTGTTAGCTTCTGTTAGCGGTGTGCTGTTGTGTGTAGTAATTGGTGTGGTGGACATCGCAGGCCCTTGGGAGTTGTCTGGGGATGATCTAGTTTGGAGATCTCCTTCCAGGACTGTCCCTCCAGTGGGACAGCCTCGCGGCTCAGTCTTGTCTCGGTCTTCACCCTGGGCTTGGATGGACGTTCCCCAGCTGAGGGTTTTATCCCTCCTGACTCCCGTGACTGTGCATTGCATGGAGGCTCAGGTGGTCGTAACTGTGAACAGGGACCTGTTTGGGACAGGGAGGCTCATCCAAGCTTCAGACCTAATCCTGGGCTCTCATGGTTGCCAACACACTTCCTTTGACGATGCAGAGAATTTGGTGGTCTTTGAAGTTGGGCTCCATGAGTGTGGCAGCATCTTACAGGTAAGGTGAACTGATGAAATGCACTTGCTTTGAGTCTTGCTTTTTAGTTGTTGTAAAGTAACAAGAAATGCCTAATGGGTAAAGAAGTAAAATGGGGGTGGAAAGACTCCTCATATTTCTGATGCTCCAGCTGTGGCTACTGTTTGTGTGGTTAAAAAGATACTACCTGTGCATGAGAGGGAGGTATTGATGGCTTTGGGGGAACCCTAATATTGGACACGGGTGGCACTGTAGTCTAAACCACTGAGCCTTGGGCTTGCCCATTGAAAGGTTGGTGGTTCGAATCCCTGCGATGGGGTGAGCTCCCTGTTGCTCGGTCCCAGCTCCTGCCCACCTAGCAGTTCAAAAGCATGTCAAAGTGCAAGTAGATAAATAGGTACCGCTCCGGCGGGAAGGTAAACGGCGTTTCCTTGCGCTGCTCTGGTTTGCCAGAAGCGGCTTAGTCATGCTGGCCACATGACCCGGAAGCTGTACGCCGGCTCCCTCAGCCAGTAAAGCGAGATGAGCGCCGCAACCCCAGAGTCGTTTGCGACTGGACTTAGCTGTCAGGGGTCCTTTACCTTTAAAGGTGAGAAAAGGAGCAACTATCTGAGAGTATTGTGATGGACAGGTTGGGATCCTGAACCAGCAATACTCTGTGCACCAGAACTTGTGCGCTGTACTAATCTTTGAGCCTTATTATAGAATCCTCCATTCAATGGAAACTTCTCAAAATGAAAGGGATAGGAGTGGTTATCATTATGAGAGGTCTGCAAATAAAACATTAGTTTCCTTCTCCAAAAATAGTCAAAAGTTTTGCTTCCTATGGCTTGTACCCCAAGGTGGGAGAAGGACCATCTTAGAGAGAAGTAAATGCAGTATGCTGCTACTTTAATGATGGTTGAGCCTAGGTAGTGACTGCTAGTATGTTTAGCTAGGACTGGCAACACCTGAGTTCAAATCCCCACTCACTCAAGAAGCTGACCTTAGGCAAGTCATCTGTGTCTGCGGTGCTGGATTTTTGCTTGTGTGTGCTACTATCACTAAACCTGGTAGGTTTAAAAAACTGTACCTGGAAATGTTTTGCATTGGGTGACAAGCTAAACAAATAACTACATCAGAATTGTTGTGAGGATGAAATTTGGTTGTCTATAAAATTCTACAAATTCTATAAAATTCATGTACCACTTTTTGCAGCCTACACAAGATAACTTGTGCTTTTCAGATGTGCATGCAATTTGTCTGGTGGTCCTAGGTACTTTCTGTCCATGTGCTAAGCCCTGCCCAGGGCCACCTCTGCATGGTCCCTCACTATCCTCCTACATTATAACAGATGATGGAGGGGGCATCCCTCTGGGCTGATTGCACCTCCCTACACTTAATAGGGAGTATATATTGAGACTAGCAATGGAATGATAATAGAATTGTAGAGTTGGGAGAGATCCAAGGGTCAAGTCCATATTTCTAAGGTGGCATTTATTTCTAGGAATATGATGTGTTTATATGAACCAACAATAGTCTGAGAAGCCTTCTCTACCCTGGTGCCCTCCAGATGTGGTGGACTTCCAACTCCATCAGCCCCAGCTAGTGCAGATTATGGGATTTGGAGTCCATAACATCTGGAGAGCACCAGGTTGTTGAAGCCTGTAGTGACTCTATATTTGCCACTACTCTTCTCCTTCCAGATGACTCCAGACTCTCTTGTCTATAGCATAAGCCTCTACTATAGACCTAATCCTGGAAGTAACTCTCAAATCATCAGGACCAGCCCAGCTGAAGTTCCTATTGAATGTCACTATCCAAGGTGAGTGGCTCTTTGTTCTCTGATCGCACCTTCCCAATGACTGTTCCTTGGAGAACTGGTTGATCAGTGAAGACTGTCCCTTTCAGGAAAGACAATGTGAGCAGCAAGTCCATCAGGCCAACGTGGAGTCCTTTCAGCTCTACCATTTCTGCAGAAGCAAGGTTGGCCTTTTCGTTGCGTCTGATGAACGGTAGGTGGCAGCCTTGGGGAAATACTGTCTGCTTCGTAAGTCGGGATGGGGAACCTTATTTTTAGTCCAAGGGATGCATTGCCTTCAAGGGCTGTATGTCGGTGATGGGTGAGGCTAGAGGCAAAAGTGTGGAGTAATGAATATAAATCTTAACTTTTGTACAGTAGGCTACCCCAGTCTCTGAGTGATACGAGGTTTCAGGTGCTTACATTGGGCACCTGTATTATCCCATCCCTGTATTAAGATAAGGCTCACCTTCTAGATGACTGGAGTGCGGAGAGAACCATTAATAGGTATCAGCTGGGAGATGCCATGCACATTCCAGGCTGATGTTAATACTGAGAACCACGTGGTTCTGAAGCTCTTCATTGACAACTGTGTGGCCACGCTGAGCCCAGACAGAGACTCTTCTCCCAGTTATTCTATAATTGACTTCAATGGGTAAGTTTGTCCTTTCTTGCCAGGAACTCTGGGTTGCATTTATTTGGCTGTCAACTACTGGGGCAATGTTGGTAACCATGTGTTTTGTCTTAGATGCCTGGTTGATGGGAGATCAGATGACTCCAGTTCAGCCTTTGTGTCCCCAAGACGCAGAGAAGATTCTCTCCAGTTCACAGTTGATGCCTTCCAGTTTGCAGGAGATAATGGAGGCTTGGTGAGACATTACTGAACACAGCAAGCTTCCTGATCCGGCCCATTTTGCAGCAATTGGCATTTTAAAAAAAAATCCCCATGAAAGTTCACCAGCATTTTAGTGTGAATTGATTGTAATAAATACATTTTATATGCAGTTTTGACTAATGTATACATTCTTGCAAGGGCATTCCCCTAATACAATGCTTTTTTGTATGTTGTTTTCATTAATATCTTGGGTTTTTTAAATCCACTTTCCTTAATGTGTGCAATTTTGTAATTGTCAGCTGGGATAGCTCTGTTGGTAGAGTAGGAGACTCTTAAACTCAGGGTTGTGGGTTTGAGCCCCACATTGGGCAAAAGATTCCTGCCTTGCAGGGGGGTGGACTAGATGACCCCCGTGGTTCCTTCCAGCTCTACAGTTCTATGTTTCTAGGAGAACTGCATTGCAAACATTCAAATCGGTGCAGATTCCCCCCCCCATTTTTTTATTGGTTTTCACAATATTATAAACAAACAAACAAACAAACAAACAAACAACAAACAAGACAAGCAAACATAACAAACATAAATCATAGCCTTATTGAAAATTACTGTTATTAACTTCCTCGCTTCCCCTTAGTTGAATTTCATTGCATGTCCTTTTAACGGTTTTCCAAATCCCAATTTTTATAAAATTTAACTTAAACATTAACATCCTTAAATCTTCACCTTATATAATTAATCATATTAATTCACTTAACATAAACAAAAATCCTAAGCCTATTAAGTATCTGCAAGCTGTTTTCGGTTATTTTGACTTAACAAATCGGTGCAGATTTTGAAAGATAGCTGCATTTCAGTTCTCATATTATTTAGGGACGTGCAAATTTGGAAGATTTGCCTTTGAATGTGTATAGAATTGAATTTCTCCTCCATCCCTACCTACAGGAAAAGCAGGGCATGGATGAAAGGGGCTTTGCAGGCAATGCCAGTCAGCTGACTGTCAATGCCTGCAAAAGCCCCTTGCACAGTGCTTCCTAAAGGCCAACAACTGGCTAACTTCCCTGTGCCTTCTGTACTTTGATGGCTAGAGAGGCTGCGTTGTACACTATGGATTCCAGATATAGCTACATGTTGTGTTTTTAGCCTTTTATTGGGCTGTTGTTTTTATTCTGATTATCAATTTGATTTTAATTAATTTTTATAATGAAATGTTTTTAGAATGTTTTTAGAATTTGACTGTTTGACTATTTGACTGTTGTTAGCCGCCCTGAGCCTGGCTTCGGCTGGGGAGGGTGGGATATAAATAAAATTTATTATTATTATTATTATTATTATTATTATTATTATTATTATTATATATTTTGTGGTTTTATATTTTGATTTTGTTCTGTGAACTACCCTGAGACCTCCGGGAATAGGGAGGTGTATAAATTCAATACTGTATATAAATAAAATAATAGAACTAGCTCTTTGGACTTGGTAAGGCCAATGTGACAGAGTCGTTTGAGCATGAGTGTGGGGGAATCTGTGGTTCTCTAGATGTGGATGGACTAGAACTCTCATTATCCCTGACCATTGGTCATGCTGGCCGGGGCTGATGGGACTTGGAGCCCAATGGCATTTGGAGAGCATTGAGTTGCTCAATAGGCTGCAATGCTGGAAAGTCCAATGGTCTTTCTTTGGGGGTCCCCCTCTCACTTTCTCCCTCCTTACTTTCTCCAGGTCTACATTACTTGCCACTTGAAAGTCACAGCAGCTGATCAGCCTCTTGGTCCTCTGAACAAGGCTTGCTCTTTCAACAAAGCAAGGAACAGGTGAGGGAAGCAGCCGAGAACTGCGGAGGGTGGGGCTGTCTGAGAAGCTGAGAGCAGCATGGGAGGAGTGATTCCTGTACCCCCCTTTTGCTGCAGCTGGACTCCCATTGAAGGTGCTGCAGACATCTGCAGCTGCTGTGAGAGGAGGAACTGTATGCCACCTGGAGGCCGGTCTGGAAGGATGGATCCCTGGTGGAGAGAGACGAGAGGACGCTTCCAGAGAGATGCTCCTGTTATTGTGCATGGTAAATTCTGTGTCCAGTGTGACTTATGGAACAGGGGTGGTGACTCCAGGACATGAGGCCTTGCTTCCTGCATAGCAATTAGGCATGGGTCAAAAAAGCTTCCTATTGGCTCCAATTTTTCAGAGGACGAAAAGGCAACTGGTTCCAGTCAACTGCTCTTGCCATCCAAGATGTTTCTCCTAATGTTCAGCCAACAAGTACCCTCCTCCTGGGACTTAATCCCATTAGAGCTCATCCAGTCGTACCCCCCACCACCTGCTGCCACCAACCCCTCTGCATCGTCAGTGTCTAGATTGGCTATAATTGTCCCATAGGAGGAAATGTGTTAAAAGGAGCTTAACTCGAACCTGATCAAAATAAGTTTCTAGGGTTTCATGCTTTTGCAGGTGACTCTTCGGTGGGAAGAGCAGAGGCTGACGTGGTGATAGGACCTGTTGTCCTGGGTGTCCCAAAGAGTTTGGGGCATCTTCCTGAAAACCAAAGAACCATGGGGGCAATGGAAGAAGGTAAGGCTGCAGTTTTGAGTGGCATTTTTTGCATGCAGAAAGTCTGCTGTTCAGCCCCTTGCATCTCTAGGTAGGGCTAAAAAAGACCTCTGCCTGACACTTAGAGAGCTGGCAGTCATAGAATCATAGAGCTAGGGTCATCTAATTCAACCCCCTGCAATCTTTTTGCCCATGGTAGGTGATAGTAAAGGGACGCGAGTGGCGCTGTGGGTTAAACCACAGAGCCTAGGGCTTGCCGATCAGGAGGTTGGCGGTTCGAATCCCCACAACAGGGTGAGCTCCTGTTGCTCGGTCCCTGCTCATGCCAACCTAGCAGTTCGAAAGCACGGAAAAGTGCAAGTAGATAAATAGGTACCGCTCTGGCGGGAAGGTAAACGGCGTTTCCGTGCGCTGCTCTGGTTTGCCAGAAAGCGTCTTAGTCATGCTGGCCACATGATCCGGAAGCTGTCTGAGGACAAACGCCGGCTCCCTCAGCCAGTAAAGCGAGATGAGCGCCGCAACCCCAGAGTCGTTTGCGACTGGACTTAACTGTCAGGGGTCCTTTACCTTTAAAGGTGAGAAAAGGAGCAACTATCTGAGAGTAATGTGATGGACAGGTCGGGATCCTGAACCAGCAATACTCTGTGCACCAGAACTTGTGTACTGTACTAATCTTAGAGCCTTATCATAGAATCCTCCATTCAACAGAAACTTCTCAAAACGAAAGGGATAGGAGTAGTTATCATTATGTGAGGTCTGCAAATAAAACATTAGGTTTCTTCTCCAAAATAGTCAAAAGTTTCACTTCCTATGGCTTGCTGCTGGTTTAATGATGGTTGAGCCTAGGTAGTGACTGCTGGTATGTTCAGCTAGGACTGGCAAGACCTGAGTTCAAATCCCCACTCACTCAAGAAGCTGACTGATTACCTTAGGCAAGTCATCTGCCATTTTCTGTGGTGCTGGATTTTTACTTGTGTGTGCTACTATCACTAAACCTGGTGGGTTTTTAAAAACTGTACCTGGAGATGTTTTGCATTGGGTGACAAACTAAACAAACAATTCCCGCTCTGGCGGGAAGGTAAACGGCATTTCCGTGCGCTGCTCTGGTTTGCCAGAAAGCAGCTTAGTCATGCTGGCCACATGACCCAGAAGCTGTACGCCAGCTCCCTCAGCCAATAAAGCAAGATGAGCATCGCAACCCCCGAGTCATTCACGACTGGACCTACAGTGGTACCTCGGGTTACAGATGCTTCAGGTTACGGACTCCGCTAACCCAGAAATAGTACCTCACGTTAAGAACTTTGCTTCAGGATGAGAACAGAAATCACACGGCTGCGGCATAGCGGCAGTGGGAGGCCCCATTAGCTAAAGTGGTACCTCAGGTTAAGAACAATTTCAGGTTAAGAACGGACCTCCAGAATGAATTAAGTACTTAACCCGAGGTACCACTGTAATGGTCAGGGGGTCCCTTTACCTTTACTTAGGTGGTAGTAGGCCAGATAAATAGTCTGACCTTGTATAAGGCATCATACAGTGCAATTCTAACCATGTCTACTCAGAAGTCAATCCCATAGAATTCATTGGAGCGTACTTCCAGCTAACTGTGGTTAGGACTGTAGCCTTGGATAGACTCCTAGTTCCAAAGTGAGATGAAGCAGCTGTGTATGTTCTAAGGCAGCTATGTTAACCATAGTAAATTGCTTTGACAGTTGTACCTAGCTAGGAGAGTAAGCAGGTTTGACCTTGGAAGTCTTGGGGGGGGGGAAAGTACTGCAGCTGCCTCCAGTTGTAAATCAGTTGACCTCCAATGGAATGACTTCTCCCTGGGAAGAGAGAAGGTGTGGCCCTTGACCATCTGTCTTCACCATGTGGTGGGTGAATGTGGCCTGTCCAGGTCATGTAAGATCAGATCCAGAAGAACTGTCCTCAATGATGGGCTGCAATGTGCAATTGGATGATGGTGAAGGTCCTCCTGGCAAATAATGACATTTCCATGAGCAGAAACGTGTAAATTGCATAGCTGTATGGTAGTGCACAGGACGCGGGTGGAGCTGTTCGAATCCCCGTGGTATTAAGAGGGTGGTACTAATGTTCATGGGACACGGGTGGCGCTGTGGTTTAAACCACAGAGCCTAGGACTTGCCGATCAGAAGGTCGGCGGTTCAAATCCCTGTGACATGGTGAGCTCCCGTTGCTCGGTCCCAGCTTCTGCCAACCTAGCAGTTCGAAAGCACGTCAAAGTGCAAGTAGATCAATAGGTACCGCCCCAGCAGAAAGGTAAACGGCGTTTCCATGCGCTGCTCTGGTTCGCCAGAAGTGGCTTAGTCATGCTGGCCACATGACCCGGAAGCTGTCCGCCGGCTCCCTCGGCCAATAAAGTGAGATGAGCGCCGCAACCCCAGAGCCGGCCACAACTGGACCTAATGGTCAGGGGTCCCTTTACCTTTACCTTTATGGTAGTGCACATGCTCTAAACGCAGAAGGGCCCATATTCAATCTCTACTTCTCTTTCTCAGGTACCCATGAGATGTCTCTGTTGACAATGGCAGGACTGTCCATAGCAACTGTCTTCCTAGCTTTGACATTGGGGATTCTGGGATATCTCATTGCCTGCAAGAAAAAAGCCACTCCAATTCTACTCCAATCTCAGAGCTTTCTGGAAAAGCTGTGTAAAATAAAATAAAAATAAAAATGGGTCAAATGGACTGTGACTTGCACTCTTCTTCTGTAATGGAAAGGGGAGTATGTAATTGGAGTAGCCAATGGGATGGTGCCCTCCAAGGAGCCATTGGTCTACAGTGCCCATCAGCCCCAACCAGCATGATCAATATTTGGAGATGATGGGAGGTACATTCTACGGACACCTGGGAGGCCACTGGTTCCCCACTCTTGAATTAAGTTGCTCAGTGTATTCATGATGGCTGCATTCATATGTTGGTTTATTCAATTTCCCTGGAGCTTCCTCAGCTGTTAATTTGAGCTTTGAAGCAATGTCCAAATGTAATGCTAAGAGTTGCATGGGCATCTGTGACTTGTCTAAAAAGTGTGTGGTAGCCCTGACAACGTCCTCCCCTCCCTAAATAACTCTCTGGTAACTTCATTCTCTAGAGTCTACAAATGCAGTAACATGACTCGATGGCTGGAATCAATAGATCCAAGTATCTATGGCAGAGCTTTATTTTGTTGACCTTGAAAGGATGCAAGGATTAGAATCTGTCCACCTTAGTGTTGTCCAACCCAAGGGACCTCTTGAATGGGTAGGCTTGTAGTTTAAACAGTGTCCAAGTGATCTCTGGAAGTAGTTGAAATAAGAAATGATAGTTTAAATTGAGCATGAGCAAAAGGAGAGGGGATTATTCTCTTTCTACAGTCATAAGAGGTTGATATTTTTCCAAGATGCACCCCCAGAACAGGTGTGGGGAACCTTTGGCCCTCCATATTTTTCTGAGCAGAGGTTATTTCTGGATTCAGAACACAGTGAACACGCAAATTAGGTGAAAGCTGAATATATTTAATAGCTGGAAAAAAAGCTAAAAAAGCTTTATTTTCTTGCTGCCTTTCCTTTGGTTGCTGGGAGCCCTGAGAGCAATGGACTCTTGAAGCTGGAGCTTGGCCAGCACATATCATTTTCCAAATCCAGCCTGCGCTGAGGTTCTACCTGACAGAGTTGTTCTTCAGACTTACATACTGTTAGGTTTACATAAATCACACCTAGTATTCAGGTTCAGCAGCCTGATGTTTATACATTCTTGTAAGGCAAAGGACTACTTAGCACTTGGCATGTAGCCAACATAAATCTCTCAAGTTCATCCATATGGGCGGGACTGTAAGATCCTTCTAGGGGCTTATCCAAGAGATTAAAATTCCCAGGTGCTTCAGAATATTTATTTTCTTGTTTTCCTCCTCCAAAAACTAGGTGCGTCTTATGGTCTGGTGCGTCTTATAGAGCGAAAAATACGGTAACTACTTAAAGGTCCCAGGTGCCACAAGATATCTAGGCATAAAGGAGCCTTGCTGTGTGTCACCTAAAACTCCTCAAACCCATAATGGTCTTCTGTGGTTTGCCAGTGCACAAGGTTGAATTGCAACAACTAACATACTTGGCCATTGACCGTGCTTGGTAGGGCTGATCGGAATTGTAGTTCAGCAGCATCCCTATTTAGAGATTTCTCTGAATCCCTGGACTTCCCACCTTCCCCTCCATGGGTCATATTGTCAACCTTTTCAACGGCATATTATTCAGTAATCTATATTTTATGCCGGTCCATTTTGTCCATAATATTTGCTACATTACAAGTGTTAAATGTTTTCATCTGCTTACAGTGGTCTCCCAGATAAATTATAATCCTGCTCTAGAACTACTCTTTGAACTTAAACTTTGGGAACCAGATGTCTTGCCCTCCTCTTATCTTTTCAGCAGAATCTACACAAGTTTTCCTTCCACTGCTGAAGTGCTGAAAGCCAAGGTCATATTGGTCGCCATTCTTCCATGGGCACTTGTTTGTGTTGATAATTGCCTATAGCGCAATACTAGAATAACCTATACTACATATGGTTGATAATCAATGATTAAAGGTAGAAAAAGTTTATATAAGGCCTACAATAGAATCGTAGCTAAAAAAGTTAGTACTTGCAAAACAAGCAAAAGTGACACAGAAGTGATTATGCGTGGGTAAGATCTTTCTTTTAAAAAATAGTTGAGCATAGGTTTTCAGCAGCAGATATGCTTTGATCAGGTTTCTTTTTTTCTTTTTTGCAGGACAGTTAGACAAATGGCCAAATTAAAAGAAAAAAGGGGAAGAAGGGGAGTTAAACGTGATGTACTGCAGAGGCACTCAGTTGCGCCCAAGATTGCAGGGGCCCCTCAAAGGATTGTGCCAGATCTTTGGCACTCTGGCATGACCTCTGGTGAGATGGGAAAGTGTGCTGGGTTCATACACAGGGTCATGCCAAAGTGCTGACTTTTGGCACTCTGGTGCGACCTTGCTGATGAGCCCAGAGTGCCAGTATCAGACAGGAAGGTGCACTGGACTTGTCAGCAGGGTTGCCAGAATGCCAAAGGTCCAGCACTCCACCATTTGAAGAGCCCAGCATACCAGTGTGTGTGTGTGACATCACATATTGAGGTGGTCCAGCCCCTTGCCCTAAGATTTGAAGGGGGCTAAAGACATGACCCCCTGGAGTTGGCGTGCCCGATGTACTGTATTGGAAGACAAAATCTGTTTATGGTGATACACACACACACACACACACACACACACACATATGTATCTTATTGAATAAGGGACACGGGTGGCACTTGGTTAAACCACAGAGCCTAGGACTTGCGATCAGAAGGTTGGTGGTTTGAATTCCCGTCATGGGATGAGCTCCCGTTGTTCGGTCACAGCTCCTGCCAACCTAGCAGTTCAAAAGCACATAAAAGTGCAAGTAGATAAATAGGTATAGCTCCAGTGGGAAGGTAAACGGCATTTCTGTGCGCTGCTCTGGTTTGCCAGAAGCGGCTTAGTCATGCTGGCCACATGACCCGGAAGCTGCACGCCAGCTCCCTCGGCCAATAAAGTGAGATGAGCGCCGCAACCCCAGAGTCGGTCACGACTGGACCTAATGGTCAGGGGTCCCTTTACTTTTTATCTTATTGAATATTGTATGATCTAAACAGTACAATAAAGCATAACAGCAAAACAAATACAGTGGTACCTCTGGATATGAATGGGATCTGTTCCGGATCCCCGTTCGCATCCTGAAGCGAACGCAACCCGCGCCTGCGCGTGCATGGGTCGTGATTCGCCGCTTCCGCGCATGTGCGTGACGTCATTTTACCGTCTGCACATGCGTGAGCGGCGAAACCCGGAAGTAATGGGTTCCGTTACTTCCGGGTTGCTGCAGAGCGCAACCCGAAAGCGCTCAACATGAAGCATATTTAACCCGGTCTGTTGTGACGTGCTCCATAAACTAGTGCATAGGGAAGAAAGAATCAAGGAATGGAAATGAAGTAAGAGTGTAGGGCAAAGAGCTAGACGCGGTGGAACTCTGCCCTAAATCTGCCTCTGGCCCTGCCAAATCCCTGTCCTAGCTCAAGCGTCTGGGCTGGCATCCCTTCCGAGTGAGTGGCTCACAGCTGCCGGCTGTGCTCTCTTTGGCTGCCAGATCTGCAGGCTAGAGCAGAACATCAGCAGATAAAGCTCTTCGTGAGAATTGCATCCTGGTGCCAGGGCAAACCGCATGGTGAATTCCTGCCGGGCATGTGGCTCTTGAAGGCACAAGGGGTGCCAGGAAAAGAGCTGGCATGTTTACAATGCACTGGGACGTCCAGTACTACCCATCCTCTGAAGTACTGATGTACAAAAGCGATAATCTGTCTGGAAAGGAAAATAAAAACTTCTGATATGCAGATCTGTCTCCTGTTTGCTTTAAGTTGGTGGAAGTGGCTCCTTTTTGCCAAATGAACTGCATAATCTATTTTCTTGCATTGGAGGGCAATACCGTATTTTTCGCTCCATAAGATGCACTTGACAATAAGATGCACCTAGTTTTTAGAGGAGGAAAACAAGAAAAAAAATATTCTGAATGAAACAGTGGATGTATGGTTTTTGTGGTTCATGCTGTGGCCACAGACATGATATGTGATTTGACGGTGAGTTTGGGGTAGCCCAATGCAAAAATCCTGAGGATCCATGTGGACCCATGCTTTGTAACCATGTTTTTGCACCACTGCGGCCCCACGCAACAGTGGGTGCGTGTGTTTTTTTGGTGCAGGCTATAGCCATGGACATGCTATATGATCTGATGGTGAATTTGGGGTGGCCCAATGCAAAAATCCTGATGATCCATGGGCTTTTACCTCCCCCCTCCCAGGCAGCCTCTTTTATCGCTAGCCTCCCTTATCTACCTCCTGATCGCTTGCCGATCAGCTGCTTCCTTTCAACACCCCCTTCCCTCTTGTTTGCCTTAGTTTCTTTTCCTTAACTGGAGCAGTTTTTTGCTCCTCCTTTTCTTCTATTTTCTCTCCTCATTGCTTATTTTTAGTATTCCTATCTCTTCTCCTTGCAAGTTTGCTGTCTTTAGCTCCCCCCCTCCCCTGGCAGCCTCTTTTACCAGCAGCCTTATCTCCCTCCCGATCGCTTGCTGATCAGCGGCTTTGTTTCAACACCTGCTCCCCCCCCCTTTTTTAAAAAGCATGATCTCCTTTTCGCCCCCGGGCAATTCGGCTCCAGGGACTACACATTCACTCCATAAGATGCACAGACATTTCCCCTTTTAGGAGGAAAAAACAGTGTCTTATGGAGCGAAAAATACGGTATTTTTCAGCGCAGGGACCACATTCCATTCTCCGCAACCTTCGGAAGGCCAAAGTGGGTAGAACAACTAATATAAATTTTTCCTTGAACACTAGACTAGTTTCTGTGCATGCTGTCTATCCTCCATGCAGGCAAGCAAGAGGCATGATCAGAGTTCAAGGGCACCTTCCAGTCAGGCAAAAACACACAAGGAGGGTGTGAAGCAGGGCTGGTGATGAGAGGGTGTGGCCTGGGGGAGAGGGTGGGGTGGTAAGGAGAGAGTTCTGGGGGCCAGATAGGAATGGAAGGCCACTTTCAGCTTTTGGGCATTATGTTCCTCACCCCAGTTTTACTGTGTGTTTTAAACATGGATGCTCTTTTTAAAATGTTTGCCCAACTGCTTTTT